TAAGAGGCTGGTAATGCTGTAAAAACCCTTAGAACACGTTTCAGCTGGGGGGTTTCACAGTCCTGATTTACTCACCACTCACCACATGGACCCTAAAGGCAACGGTTACAAGGTTTCTCTAAAACCCAGTGAATATCCATCACTAGAATACACGGCTCTCACTTCATCTTTCATCAGAAGATGAGATGCACCTTTGAAGGCCCTCCAGTTCCCCTCCTGGAAGAATACAGTATTAGGGTACTACAACAGCTTTTGAATGGGGCTATTTTGGAAACTGAAGGAAGGAAAACAAATTGTCTTATTGTGGTTATCACTGGGCACATATATTTTTCAGTAGCTGAGCACCAGTGCAGGATGAGCAGAAAACTTACTGAAGAAATAATTTCAACAGGTGTCAGCAGCTGTGATGATCTTCAGTCAAGCATAAAGCCTTATTCTAACACATTTTGCTAGCAGGAGAATTTTTTTTGTAAGAAAATTTAGCACATTCTGTAGCCTTGCAATATATTCAAGTAGCACTTTGACCTATATGAAACTCGCAGAGAAGCTTAGGAGGGGGCCCAACTTCATCTTAGATGTAGGTATCATTTAATCCAAATCCAAAAATGCTTCTTAAGCTCAGCCCTATTAGCAGACCGATGTCTATGGATACTTCACTCAGAATCACACATAGCACTGTTCTACCACTTTGAGGACAGTCTCTTCTATGCTAGCCAAAAGCAGGACTCGCATTGAAAAATCTCAAAATAACTTCTTTTCTGTGTAGTTATGTAAGGCTTTTTTTGAAAAATGAGCTTTCAACTCAGGCTTACAGCGGTAACAGTAAAATAACGGTGTTTCCAACAGGGTGCAGCTCTCCCCAAGAGACAGTGGAAGATACTTTGTCAAATTAGTTCCTCAACATCACTAAGTCTGGGAAAAAAGCACAGCTCAGTAGCTGGGCCTGTGCCCTTGTATCCCAGTGGAGGCTGGAATAGCGCTTCTGCTGATAATAGCCTCAATCAGACAGTTCTTACTCCACAGAAAAATTTCCCTAAAACTCAAGACAAGCCTCCAATTACACAATCATGTACTATTCTGGCTTTAAGATCCCCCGAACAGACTGGATGGTGTGTCCTGAATGAAGAAGAATGAAACAGTTTTAAATCATTTCTGAAGCAGGAGTAGAAAAGATTGCTAGCTCTCTATTGAGTTTTTAAAATGAGGTTAGCTTTCTCTGCGGACAACAGAACACAAAACCACTTAAAATATCTGGTAAGTATTACACAATGCTTTTTTAAAACTTTCCCCGTTTGCTCCAGCTTCAGGCAGGGTATGAGCTAAAGCCAGGGGAAGCTGTTCCACTGACATCGATGGGCTTGGAAGCAGGACCTCACGGCTCGCAACCCAGCTTGTGCGCTAAACAAATTCGCAAAGGGGCTTATTTCACCTAACAGTGTCCTGAGCTGTGCACTGAGAGACAGAGAGCTTTTTTGCCCGTATTTTTGGAGGACATTTTGGAGGACGGCAAAGGGCAGTGTAGCAATAGCTACACTGCGACCTGCATTTTGCAAGTGGAATTTCCAAAAGGCAGAAACTGCTGACATGCAAATGTTACTTTTCAGAGAAAAAATGTTTTCCAAAACAGAAAAGCACTTACAGGAAGCTATTCCAGTAACAACTTGGATGAGGAACATACAAACCGTAACAAGCATACGTGTGGATGCAGTTTGAAGAAACTAGGCAAGGGGACAGAACCGGTTTTTGAGAAGAAGTGACATACACACAGCTTTACAGACTGCACTGTAGTTGAGATGTTACATCTTAACTGCAGTACTTGCAAACAAGCCCTTTCAACAGACACACACTCCAACTTCGTGTAAATGAGGTGATAAGGGATAGGAGTACTGCTGTCATCCTATCACTCACTGTCCCCCCGCCCTGGGATCACAGGATTAAACACAGCTCTGCTGCACAGGGGAATGTTTTATGGACTGTTGTGCTGCCCCATAACTTCAGCTCTATTTAAGCAGGGTGGAGTGAAGCTGAAGTGCAGCATAATGGCCAGTGCTGTTCACAGAATCACACAGAGTCACAGAATGGTGGGGGTTGGAAAGGACCTCCCTGGGTCATCTAGTCCAACCCCCCTGCCGAAGCAGGGTCACCTACAGCAGGCTGCACAGGACCTTGTCCAGGCGGGGCTTGAATATCTCCCGAGAAGGAGACTCCACAGCCCCTCTGGGCCGCCTGGGCCCGGGCTACGTCGCCCTCCGCGGGAAGCAGGTCTTGC